CTGGTGTTGAATCAATCCCTGTCATTTAGAACACATGGATCTGGAAGCTTCCCCCACAAAGGTTGGTGAAAGTTTATAAAGAAGAAGATGGGACTTTCACCAAACATTCTCTGGTGTTGAATCAATCCCAGTCATTTAGAACACATGGATCTGGAAGCTTCCACAAAGGTTGGTGAAAGTTTATAAAGAAGAGGATGGGACTTTCACCAAACATTCTCTGGTGTTGAATCAATCCCTGTCATTTAGAACACATGGATCTGGAAGCTTCCCCCACAAAGGTCGGTGAAAGTTTATAAAGAAGAGGATGGGACTTTCACCAAACATTCTCTGGTGTTGAATCAATCCCTGTCATTTAGAACACATGGATCTGGAAGCTTCCCCCACAAAGGTCGGTGAAAGTTTATAAAGAAGAGGATGGGACTTTCACCAAACATTCTCTGGTGTTGAATCAATCCCTGTCATTTAGAACACATGGATCTGGAAGCTTCCCCCACAAAGGTCGGTGAAAGTTTATAAAGAAGAGGATGGGACTTTCACCAAACATTCTCTGGTGTTGAATCATCCCTGTCATTTAGAACACATGGATCTGGAAACTTCCCCCACAAAGGTTGGTGAAAGTTTATAAAGAAGAGGATGGGACTTTCACCAAACATTCTCTGGTGTTGAATCAATCCCTGTCATTTAGAACACATGGATCTGGAAGCTTCCCCCACAAAGGTTGGTGAAAGTTTATAAAGAAGAAGATGGGACTTTCACCAAACATTCTCTGGTGTTGAATCAATCCCTGTCATTTAGAACACATGGATCTGGAAGCTTCCCCCACAAAAGTTGGTGAAAGTTTATAAAGAAGGATGGTACTTTCACCAAACATTCTCTGGTGTTGAATCAATCCCAGTCATTTAGAACACATGGATCTGGAAGCTTCCCCCACAAAGGTTGGTGAAAGTTTATAAAGAAGAGGATGGGACTTTCACCAAACATTCTCTGGTGTTGAATCAATCCCAGTCATTTAGAACACATGGATCTGGAAGCTTCCCCCACAAAGGTTGGTGAAAGTTTATAAAGAAGAGGATGGGACTTTCACCAAACATTCTCTGGTGTTGAATCAATCCCTGTCATTTAGAACACATGGATCTGGAAGCTTCCCCCACAAAGGTTGGTGAAAGTTTATAAAGAAGAGGATGGGACTTTCACCAAACATTCTCTGGTGTTGAATCAATCCCTGTCATTTAGAACACATGGATCTGGAAGCTTCCCCCACAAAGGTTGGTGAAAGTCACATCCCCTGCTTTATAAATAAACCCCATATTCTAAAGAAAATAAACTCCATGATGAAATTTCACTGTTTTTCCTTACTAATATTTGACATTTTTTGGCTGGGACATTTGTCTGTTCTTGGCTTCATCTGTATCAGGAAAAAGCCAGCAGAAGTGATATAATTAAGCACCTTGGCTTTCTTACAGGGACTTCTGGCAATTTCTTGATATCAAGAAATAAGAACAATGCCAGAGAGTACCTTACTTAGTGAGGAAGCACTTGTCTACCACTAAATAACGGCATGTTGCTGGAGATGGATATGCACATAATTACAGTGATTTCCTCTTTCATCAGTTAATCTAGGTTTTGAGACCCTAGGACTCATTTAGACAATATGGGGGGGGGGGTATAAAACAAGACAATAAGCATCATTTTTAATATTTTGGGGGGCCAGAATTTGATTTTGAGACCTCGTTTAGAACCCCCAATCTACAGGATGTACACCCTTGATCAATAACATATTTCATTTTCTAGTTCCTCTTCACTGAAGCTGGCCGCTGGAGACATTATGTGCCCAGACTGGAGTACCCTCAGCATAGGTAGGTATAGACATCTTTCCCTTAGAGTGCTTAGAATGGTGGTGGGAGCAGGTTTAAGTATAGTTAGGATTTGACTACACTTCTACTTTAAATTATTTTTTAATTTGCAAGTGTGAAGTATTATAAACCATTCCAGCTGTTATTTAAAGTTGTAGAACTGCACAAACACTTTTAGAAATACTGTGAATTAAAAGAATGGTTTATTGCAGTAAATAGTAGAAATATAAAAAAAAAATCTTCACAAATATGAAAATTATTTTTTATTGTATTTATTATTTATGTATTTAATAAATCTCTCTGTACATGAAATGTAAATTATAAATATGCAAATTCATTTTTAATTTTATTTAATAAATCTTTTACATGAAATGTAAACTATAAGTATGTGAATTAATTTTTTTATGTTATTTAATATTTACTTAATAAATCTCTCTATACATGAAATGAAAACTATAAATATGTAAATTCTTTTTTTTATTGCATTTAATATTTATTTATTTTTAAACATCTCTCTATACATGAAATGTAAATTATAAATATGTGAATTCATGTTTTATTTTACTTAATATTTATTTAATAAATCTCTCAGTACATGAAATGTAAACTAAATATGCAAATTCATGTTTTACTTTATTTATTATTTATTAAAAAAATAAATCTCTATACATCAAATGTAAATTATAAATATGTAATTCATGTTTATATGTTGTAAATTATTTTTTTATTTATTATTTATTTAAAAAATCTCTATACATGAAATGAAAACTAAAAATATGTGAATTCTTTTTTTTGCAATTTTATTTAACATGTATTTATTTTAAAAAATCTCTCTGTACATGAAATGCAAATTATAAATATGTGACTTCATGTTTTATTTTAGTTAATATTTATTTAATAAATCTCTCTGTACATGAAATGTAAACTAAATATGCAAATTCATTTTTACTTTATTATTTATTTAAAAAAAAACTCTACATGAAATGTAAATTATAAATATGCAAATTCATATTTTATTGTATTTAATCTTAATTAATATTATACAGGACTTATATAGCGCCGACAGTTTGCTCAGCGCTTTACATTATGGAGGGAGACTGTACAGTAACAATACAGTTCAATACAAGAGGGATTAGAGGGCTCTGCTCCTTGGAGCTTACAATCTAGGAGTAATCTTAATAAAGCTCTCTGTACATGAAATGTAAATGATAAATATGTGAATTCATATTTTATTATATTTAATATTAATAAACCTCTTTGTACATGAAATGTAAACTAAATATCTAAATACATTTTTTACTTTATTTAATATTTATTTATTTAAAAAAAAACCCTCTATATACATGAAATGTATCTGAAAAAAAACAGTATTCAGCAACTATTAAAAGGACATTTTATTGTCATAGAACAATAGGTGAATATTGCTGGAGACTTCATATTTCATCCAGGTGAGCCCAAAAGTCTTACATCTTCACCTAAATCTGGCGATTACATTGACATCTGGTTTGCATCAGAATACTGGGTGACGCTATTGACTCTGAAGAAGGAGATAATCAGACTTTTTATTTCCAGTGAAAGGACACATCTGAACATGACTTGTCCAATCTTACATAAACAAGCAGAGACTTTTTTTTCCTCGGTATTTGACATTTGTAAGTTTGTCTCACTTGTTCCCAGCTCATGGTGTGAGTGGAGATGTTGTGAAACAGAATGACATGGTGCTCATGTTTGCAGCACACTGAGGCACATACATATGACACCATGTTACAGTGGTGGTACCGTTCTCCGAGAGGCCTCTTACATTGTGTGAATCATTATACAGCACAGACAGTTGGGGGAACACAAAGAAGAAGATGAAGTGTGTAGAAGGTGTGAAGACTTCCAAATGTGGTTCTTAGCATATGTTAGTAAGAACGAGTGCCATGTTTAGCAGAATTGTGAATTCTGAAAAAGATTCGCTCATTTTAGGCGATGTTCAGCCCGTTCGGCTTTACCTGGTTTAACCCCGTGCATTGGATAGGTGCAGAAAGGTCAGCTGCAGACATTGCTGAAATCTGTGAAAGCCGTATCTATTGAGTGCAGTAAAACGAACGCTTATTAGCTGCTTGCTGCCCGCCCGCAGGACACATACCCATATGCCACCGCTTGGCTTCCAGATTTCAGGCGCCCTGTGCTGACCCGTGCTGTGATTGGATACCGCACGAGCTTGTCGCCAATGATTTTGTCTGAAACCTGCTGATTGGCTGTGTCTAATCACATGGGGTTTATTTACTGAAGCTGGTTTACTCAGAATCACGTGCAAACCAATCAGCTTCCAGGTTTTCTTGCTAAAGCATAGCTCAGGGGTAGGCAACCTGAGAGCCACAGGACTACAAGTTCCATCATGCCTCTGCAAATCATAGCTGTAACTGTCAGTTTTGTAATCTTTGCAATGCTTCATGGGAACTGTAGTTCCACAACAGCTAGAGAGCTGCAGGTTGCCTACCCCTGGCCTAGCTGATTGGCTGCCATGCACATCTGCACAATATTCGGAGTGAATCAGCTTTAGTAAATCTCCCCTGGTGTTTACAGACACTTCGAACTCTGTGTAAACTGAAGATGAAGAAGGAGGGACCCCCTAGGACAGGGGTGTCAAACTGGTGGCCCTCTAGCTGTTGCCAAACTACAAGTCCCATCATGCCTCTGTCTTTGGGAGTCATGCTTGTAAACTGTTAATCTTGCAATGCCTCATGGGACTTGTAGTTTGGCAAGAGCTGAAGGTCCGCCAGTTTGATACCCGTGCGCTAGGACTTGGGACTTTGAAGGCTTAAATAGTACCAGAAATATTTAAAAAGTACACATTTTTATTTGTGAAAAATTGTTATGACAATTAGACACAGCCGGTGACAGATTGCACCACTGCACGGCCCTTTGGCCACGTGAGCGGCTCATTTTGATAGGATGTTTTATGACGCCCAGTCACAACGGTGACTGTCCCGCCCGGCCATCAATCTGCTATAGGCCGGGTGGGAAGGTGTTAAAGCGGATTGGGTCTAGGCAGGCACGGACTGACAACTCATGGGGCGCCCGGGCAATAGGGAATCATGGGGCCCCTGTGTCCTTGCCCACACTCAAAAAAGCCTATGAAAAAGGTACCAGGGGCATCTCATGGGGCCCCCTACTGACCCCGGGCCCTCGGGCAGTGCCCGAGTTTCCAAATGGTCAGTCTGCCCCTGGGTCTAGGTGAGGGATGTCTGCAGTTTTAAAAGTAAATAGGCAGCAAAGCTCATTTTGATTGGGTCAGGGTCAGGGACGGGTGGAGCTGCAGGGGATTGTCTGGTAGTTAGTCTGGGGAGGTCTTCAGTCAGAGGTCAGCTGAGTTGGGGAAAATGTCCCACCCTCTTGCCCTGTTTTTTGTTGGTCTTTCTGTGCTGGGAATTTTGGTTTGTTATGGTTCCCTTTTGCCATATGGCTGACGGGGTGCAAGGTCTTTTTAGGTTAGTATGGGCACCATGATACGTTGTAGGGACCTGTCTGAGGTATGGATCTCAGTTGTTGGGATGTGTATCTGCAAGTTGTCTCCGAGTCAGTAGTTTTGTGGCTGCAGGCCTGGTTAAGTGATATGCAGGTACTTTCCTTCATTTAATAGGACCTTGGGCCTCCATTTTTTATACACTGTGTTGTTATTTATCAATTATTCATTTGTTATTTATGTTTGGTTAACCATTAGCCGCCCGGCCTATAGCCGTTTGGCGGCCGCATTTTTATAATTTTTTTTGTGACAGATAGAGCTTTATTTTGGTGGTATTTAATCACCTCTGGGATTTTTATTTTTTCTTAAACAAACCAAAAACCACTGAAAATTTTGAAAAATAAAAGTTTTTTCTTAGTTTTTGTTATAAAATTTTGTAAATAAGTGATTTTTCTCCTTCACTGATGTGCGCTAATGAGGCTGCACTGATGGGCACTGATAGGCCGCTTTGATGGACACTGATAGGTGGCACTGATGGGCACTGATGAGGAGGCACTGGTAGGTGGCACTGATGGGCATTGACAGGCATCACTGATGGGCACTGAAAGGCAGCACTGATATATGACACTGATATATGGCACTGATAGGCAGCACTGATAGGCGGCACTGACTGGCACTGATAGGCGGCACTGACTGGCACTGTTAGGCAGCACTGACAGGCACTGATAGGCGGCACTGGTGCGCACTGATAGGCGGCGCTGACTGGCACTGATAGGCGGCGCTGACTGGCACTGATAGGTGGCACTGATTGGCATTGATAGGTGGCACTGACTGGCACTGATGGGTGCCACTGAAAGGAAGCTCAGATGGGCACTGATATGTGGCATTGATGTGCACTGGTAGGCACTGATATGTGGCACTGGCACGAGGCACTGATGAGCACTGACATAAGGCACTGATGGACACTGACAGGTGGCACTGCTGGGTCTACACTGATCATCAGGGCACACTGATCATCAGTGCCCTGATGATCAGTGTACATGTCCCCTCCGTGGAAAGCCGATTACCGGCTCTCCTCTCCTCTCGAGCTGTCAGCGTGACAGTTCGAGAGGAGAGAAATGCCGATAACTGGCATTTCCCTGCTTACATGTGATCAGCTGTGATTGGACACAGCTGATCACATGACTGAGCCGACATCATCGGCTCTTTCTGTGATCGGTGATCCGCTGTGTCCGAGGGATACGGCGCACCGACGATCGCCGTGCTGCGCGCTCCCTGAGCCGCGCATGCGCAGTGAGAATGGGAGGATGTCACATGACGTCCTCCCAGAACGAAAGAACCACCTTGCGCTGTCATATTACTATATGGCGGATGGGAGGTGGTTAAAGAATTGAGCTCTGTCATTTCAAAGCCATTGTTTCTAATTTTCAGGGACTGTTTAACCCCTTCACGCCTAAGGGTAAAACAAATCTAAATGCCTAAGCACAATTCTGCAACGTTGACGTGTTAGTAAAACCGTACATATCGTCACAACTACTTTGTACATCCAGGTGGATTATACCTTGTTTTTTTCAGGACAAATTGGGCTTTCATTTGGTGGTAAATGGTCATGGATAGCTCCTAATTTTTTTTTATTATTAAAGGAAAACTGGCCCAAAATAGTAAAAAAAATAATTTTTTTAAATTTAACTGTGTGTTTCTTGTTACGACCATAACCTACCACCAAAGAACAACTCAAAATACATTCTTCAGTTCTTGACGATCGCAGCGATACCATATATGTGTATGTTATTTGTTGTTTGTACCCGTAGTACAGTCCAGAAACAACAGTGCGCATTTTGTTTTTGTCTTTTTTTTTTATATAAAACACACACTGTCACTGACATTGACATTAACACTAACTGACACTGATACCAATTTTTTTTTAAATCCTGACCTTTGACCCTGACCTTTGCCCTTGACCCTGACCTTTGACCTTTTTGACCCTGACCTTGACCCAAACACTAACCCTGGTACTGAACTAGATCAAACCTTGATCTAGGTATTTTTCTTTATTTTTTCTTTTATTTTTTAATATTTATTTATCTTTTTTTTTTTTTTTTTTTTTTACAAACTTTTTTTTCTCTCTCTGTGTCAGAAGTTCGAGAGATACAATGTATCTCTCTTCTCCATTCATAGAGAGAGAGAGAAAACAAGGGGGCCAGGCTGCACAGTGATTGATCACTGTGATAGCCAATCAGAGGCTATCACAGCGATCACGTGACCCGGAATCGGGAGTCCCGGGTCCCGATCGTTAGAACGGGACCCGGGGCTCTCAGTGACACCGCGGTCTTGGTGCTGGGAGTGCGCCGAGCGGCGCGCTCCCAGCACAAAGACAGGTACGCAAATATGCGGCCCCACGGAAAAAAGCCCAGGTCCGTGAGGCCGCATATTTGTGTTACGTCGGCGGGAAGGGGTTAATGACTGGCATAGTACCACTGGATTGGTGTAAGGCCAATGTGGTGCCAATATTTAAAAAGGAGTCAAAATATTTACCAAGTAATTATAGATCTGTTAGTTTAACTTCTATATTTGGGAAGATACTGGAGAGTTTAATAAAAGACCACATAGATGAGTTCTTGCTGGAAAAAATATTTTAAGCAACAGACAGCATGGATTCATGAAAGACAGAAGTAGTCAAACAAATCTGATTTCTTTTTATGAGGAGATGAGGAAAACATTGGACAGAGGGGTGGCGGTGGACGTGGTATACTTAGATTTTGCAAAAAGATTTGACACAGTTCCTCACACACGGATAATGTGTAAGGTAAAGTCTACAGGCTTGGAAAAATCCATATGTAAATGGATAGAAAACTGGCTAAAAGATCGTATTCAGAGAGTAATGGTTAATGATTCATACTCTGAATGGTCTAGGGTTATCAATGGTTTATAGACGGTTCAGTGTTGGGACCCTTACTTTTTAATATATTTATAAACGATATTGGGTCTGGGATTACAAATCCCATTTCAGTCTTTGCAGATGACACCAAGCCAGGGGCGGACTGACCATTTGGAAACTCAGGCACTGCCCGAGGGCCCGGAGTTAGTAAGGGACCCCATGAGATGCCCCTGGTACCTTTTTCATAGGCTTTTTTGAGTTTGGGCAAGGACACAGGGGCCCCATGATCCCCTATTGCCCGGGGGCCCCATGAGTTGTCAGTCCGCCCCTGCACCAAGTTGTGCAGTGGAATAACGTGCTTACAGGATGTCTCCAACTTACAAGCCGACCTCAATGCACTGTATAATTGGGCAACTATGTGGCAAATGAGGTTTAAACATTTCAAATGTAAAGTACAACTGGAGCAATCAATGGTGGAGAAGTGTCATGCCTTCAGCATATGCTTATGTCATGTCCTTTGTTAGTTTTTTATTATGCTATGGAATGTAAGGTAAATTGTAATATCGCCATCTAGTGGCTCTTTAGTATAATTACAGTTTTATAGATTATTTTCTGTAGATACACATATTGTTGCTTAAAAGCCACCATACTTTTCCCATCATCCTATGGTCTTTACCATAAGGTCTTAGAGACATTTCCTGGCAGCCATCTTACATCTCCTCCAGAGGACTCCACACTTATTCAGCTGCAGTTCTGTCCTCAGCCAATCGGAAACATCGCTGGTATGTTTAAAACCCTTTCCCTAATTAGACTAGTGTGTCATGACCTTATATTTTGTATATTGTATACACTGCTTGAATGTCATTTCTTTAATTTGTAGTTTTACTCTAACTCCCCTGCAATAAAAGTTGAAAAGAGGACCTAGCGCCTGTATCAATGAGTTGTTAAGTGAGGAGAGTTATCTGTCTGTCTAATTATACCTCAGTCATGTGTAGTGAGGGCAGAACAAGAAGGATCTGAGAGTTCTGGTAGACCATCAGCTTAATAATGGCATGCAATGCCAAGCTGCGGTTTCTAATGCAAGCAAAATCATCTCTTGTAATAAAAGAGGTATAGACTCCAGAGAGAGAGATATCATATTACCCCTGTACAAATCATTAGTATACCTCATATGGAATATGCAGTTCAATTTTGGGCACCAATTCACAAAAAGAACATTGGGGAACTGGAGAAAGTACAGAGAAGGGCAACCAAACTGATAAGAGGCATGGAGGAGCTCAGCTATAAGGAAAGATTAGAGGAACTGAATTTATTCTCTCTTGAGAAGAGGAGGTTAAGGGGGGACATGATCAACAAGACTCTTTATGTCTAGAGGAAAATAAAATTATTCTCCAACACGGAAAGGTTTTTCACAGTAAGACCTGTAGACTCGCTCAGGAGTTGGTTCTGGCCAAATCAGTAGCTTACTTTAAAAAGGGCCTGGATTCCTTCCTAGATTTAACTGGATACTAACATGTATAGGTAAAGTTGATCCAGGGAATGTCCGATTGCCTCTTGGGGGTTTAGGAAGGAATGTTTTCCCCAGCAGGAGCAAATTGCATCATGCTTTGTTGGGGGGTTTTTTTTCTTCCTCTGGATCAACTGTCGGTATAAGATTATAACTTTTTTTTATGGTTGAACTAGATGGGATTTTGTCTTTTTTTTTTCAGCCAGACTAACTATATGTAACTATGTAAACATTTAACATATGGACTGTATACATGGATTTCATCATCAACCTCCCTCTCATTTGAATATACTGGTTTAAACATTCATTGGTTCTATATGGATCAGTATAAAAGCCTTATTTTATGTACATTTACGTTTTATAATGGATACCCTAGTGTGCACCCTATAATCCTTGGGTATTTTAATGGTTGTAAATCTTTGGGAGGAAAACACACAGCCTGGGGATTACCCCTTGATATATCCCTCCGCACAATTCATATGTGGTTATTCATTTGGAGGTTGCTCTGTGAATCTTGCAAATATGTTTTGCTTGACTCAAATATAAGTCTATGGGTCTCAAAAAGACACAGCAACGCACCAAACACACACACATAAGTGTGAATGACCTCTATAGAAAGCCATGTTATATCCCTTTGACATGTGAATCATGTGTTCTGGAACTAATCAGAACCACATCAGATTCGCATCAGTGTGAACTAGGACTCAAAGTTATTTAATGGCTTTTATAAGTTGTAATTGGTTGCCAGCTCATCCCTCGATTTACTGATATGTGGACTGCAAAGGTTATGTGGCTAATTACATACAGATAAGGTAGACTGACTAGAGCTGGCTATACACACATGGAGTTTCAGCTGTTTCATTTTAAGCCAAATGGACAAATGTCAGCCAATCGGCACTTGTATCCAATCAGATGCAGGCACTGTTTGGGTATTCTGACATCCTGAGGCACAGGGGTGGACTGACCATTTGGAAACTCGAGCACTGCCCGAGGGCCCAGGGTCAGTAGGGGGCCCATGAGATACCCCTGGTACCTTTTTCAAAGGCTTTTTTGAGTTTGGGCAAGGACACAGGGGCCCCATGATCCCCTATTGCCCGGGGGCCCCATGAGTTGTCAGTCCGCCACCTGCTGAGGCACTAGCATTTTACGATAAATAGCTTACAACAGGAGATCCTCTCAATCCATGTCCATCCATGCAGGAATCTGTGTTGATTTCTTTCATTCAGCCCACTGGCAAAGTTACAGAAAAAAAGAAGTGTATTTATAGATTAAATCGAATTATTCATGAAACATACATAACTTAGCTATGATCATATTTAAAGTATTTGTTAACCTTTACGGGGTGACATTTAATTTGTTAAAGTGCTGTATATCATAAACAATGTCATATCATAAATTATCATAAATACAAACAATGTTTGTTTTTTCACACTTTTTCACCTTTTATGAGCCTGCATTCACACCTGGGCCATTTTCAGACTTTTGCAGGCATTTTTAATTGAGCATTTTTTTTATTGTATTATGAGCATATACTGTATGAGTGTTTAGGAAATGTATTTCAAGCATTTTACATGTCTTTAACCACTTGCCGACTGCCTCCAGTACCTTGACTGTGGGTAGGCAGCATGGGCAGGTATCACGTACAAGTACATCATCTGGCCTGCTATGGGTTAGTGGTGCACAATGGGCACAGCGGAATGCCGATCCCGGTACTCAAGGCCTGATGATCACGTGATTGCTATGAGATCAAATGACTACAGTGTCAACAAATCTGTTATGAATTAATTAATTCATAACAGCTGTGTTTCCTATGCTGTGATTGCCCCACAGCTATCACATGGTACCTGGGCCAATCACAGCACCAGGTATGTGATTAGCTGTAAGCAATTACAGATCACTAGTGTTCATAGCTGTCATGAATGTAACCCATTCATGACAGTTGAAAACTTTGCTATTACAAAGATCTTCATTGTAAAAGCAAAGTGGTAAAAAAAAATAAAATAAAATTCCTGATAACCCCCTCAGAGTAGTGCAGTGTTATTATGGTGACATTGAACTGCTCTGATAAAAATATGTAAAAAAAATATTTATAATATAAAAATGAAAAAAGTATTAAAAAATTCAAAAAAGTTTAAAAAAATTGAATTAACATACTGTCACCAGTCAGTGTCATATTATGAAGCTGTACTGCACTGGTGAAAGTATGTAAAGTTGTGGGTAAAAAAACAATTTTTTTTTTATTTCTTCATTTTCAAATAAATTGTGACCAAAAATTACAATTTAAAAAAAAATTGCTATGCCTCTTACTATATGCCTCAGACTGTCTACTTTCCAAAAAAGGGGTCAGTGGGGTATATTTGTGCTGTCTGGGCATTTTAGGGCCTCAATAAATGAGATAGGCCATCAGTACATCAGGATTGATCAATTTTCAAATATATATACCATAGTTTGTAGATGCTATAACTTTCACACAAACCAATTAGTATACACTTTTTTTTTACCAAAGAAATGTACCTGAATGCATTTTGGCCTAAATTTATGATGAAGATTGATTTGAGAAGATATGTTTTATAACAGAAAGTAGAAAATATAGTTTTTTTCAAAATTTTCAGTCTTCTTTCATTTATATTGTAAAAAGTAAAAAACCCAGTGGTGATCAAATACCACCAAAAGAAAGCTCTATTTGTGTGAACAAAAATGATAGAAATCTCATTTGTATACAGTATTGCATAACCGCGCAATTGAGAGTTAAAGTAGCACAGTGCTGAATATCAAAAAATGCCCTGTAATGAAGGGGGGAACATTTACCAGATCTCAAGAGGTTAAGCTTCACATAGGCTAAAAAAAACCACCTAAAATATACGTGAAAAAATGCACGCATGCTCTCAATGTGAGCATCCACAGTCTTTACGATTGAAGTCTACAGTGCTCACATGTGAATGGTCACCATTTAATTACATGGGATTTTTCTTGTTGAGCATTATGGAGCTTTGAGCTTCAAGCTACAAATTACTTAGTTAAAGTGTTACTAAACCCAGGACCCTGCATTCACTATATCTGGTCTCCCACAGTACACACAACATGGAAATGAAATTATTTTAGTAAATATAAAACTGCTAAATACCTTTTCTCATCAGCAGTTAGAGCAGTCTTGTGACTTCAGCAGAGCACTGGTTAAAGCTTCTAGGAGGAGCTTTCTTTCTGCTCTAGGATTATGCAAACCCCTGACCCTCTGTCTGGACAGTGCTGATTGGCCCTGTGCTGATCAGATGTGATCTGGCAATGTTTATCCAATCTTCTATTGTTAAATTTTGGTGAGCCTGTGCAAATTGTAGCTTCTGTTTCCTGTTCTTAGCTGACGAGTTGCACCCAGTGTGGTCTTCTGCTGCTGTAGCCCATCTGCTTCAAGGTTCAATGTGTTGTGTATTCAGAGATGGTATTCTGCATACTTTGGTTGTGGCTATTTGAGTTACTGTTGCCTTTCTATCATCTCGAACCAGTCTGCCCATTCTCCTCTGACTTCTGACATCAACAAGGCATTTTTGTCCACACAACTGACGCTCACTGAATATTTTTTCTCTTTTTTTGGACCATTCTCTGTAAACCCTAGAGATGGTTGTGTGTGAAAATCCCAGTAAATCAGCAGTTTTTGAAATACTCAGACCAGCCCATCTGGCATCAACAACCTTGCTACGTTCAAAGTCACTTAAAGTGGAGTTCCACCCAAAAGGGGAAGTTCCGCTTTAAAGATTGGTCCCCCGCTCTCCTTTAACCGCCTCCCGCCTGCCATATAGTACAATGACGGGCGCAAGGCAGTTCTCTCATTCTGGGAGGATGTCATATGACTTCCTCCCATTCTAACCGCGCATGCGTGGCTCTGGGAGCTTGCAGCGTGGCGATCGGCGGTGCGCGCTGTGTCCCTCAGACACAGCGGATCACTGATCAATGGAAAGAGATACAGATGTTGGCTCAGTCTTGTGATCAGCTGTGTCCAATCACAGCTGGTCACATGTAAACAGGGAAATACCGGTTATCGGCATTTCTCTCCTCACGAGCTGTCACGCTGACAGCTCGAGAGGAGAGCCAGTAATCAGCATTCCTCAGAGGGGACATCTACACTGATCATCAGAGCACTGATGATCAGTGTGCCCTGATGATCTGTGTAGCTCCAGCAGTGCCACCTGTCAGTGTCCATCAGTGCCAGCGTTCAGAGCTCATCCATGCCCCCTGCCAGTGCCCATCAATGCCACATATCAGTGCCTATCTGAGCTGCCTTTCAGTGTCACCCATCAGTGCCAGTCAGTGCCACCTATCAATGCCAGTCAGTGCCACTTATCAGTGCTGCCAATCAGTGCCACATATCAGTGCCAGTCAGTGCCGCCTATCAGTGTGCATCAGTGCCGCCTATTGGTGCCCATCAGTGCTGCCTATCAGTGCCGCCTAACAGTGCCAGTCAGTGCCACCTAACAGTGCCAGTCAGTGCCGCCTATCAGTGCTGGTCAGTGCCACCTATCAGTGCCACCTATCAGTGCCATATATGAGTGCTGCTTTTCAGTGCCCATCAGTGATGCCTGTCAATGCCCATCAGTGCCACTTACCAGTGCCTCCTCATCAGTGCCCATCAGCGCCACCTATCAGTGTCCATCAGTGCAGCCTATCAGTGCCCATCACTACAGCCTCATTAGCGCACATCAGTGAAGGAGAAAAATCACTTATTTACAAAATTTTATAAACAAAAACTAAGAAAAAACTTTTTTTTTTTTAAATTTTCAGTGGTTTTTGGTTTGTTTAAGAAAAAATAAAAAACCCAGAGGTGATTAAATACCACCAAAATAAAGCTCTATCTGTCACAAAAAAAATGATAAAAATTTCATATGGGTACAGTGTTGCATGACCGCGCAATTGTCATTCAAAGTGTGACAGCGCTGAAAGCTGGAAATTGGCCTGGGCAGGAAGGGGGTATAAGTGCCCTGTAGGCTAGTGGTTAAGGATTGGCACATTTGGGGAGCAGGGGGGGAGTGGGTACCCATAATTGAAAGGTACCCGCTCCCACTTCCGCTGCAATCGCCTTGGCGATCGGAAGTGGAAGGTGTCCTTCTACCCTCCCCATAGTCTTGTGGAACACGTGACAGGTCCCAGAAGACTAAGGGGCCATTCAAGAAGTGCAGTGCTACTCGCGCATGCCGCAAGCTGTCACAGCCATGTACCCACACTGAAGGTGCCGGCGTCTGGAATACAGGACGGCCAGTGAAACGGGCTGTGGCGGGGGCACCGCGGGATCGTGGGACAGGTGAGTGGCTGTTTTTTAAAAGTCAACAGCTACAGTTTTTGTAGATGCTGACTTTTATTTTTTTACAGAGTGAGTGGAACTCCGCTTTAAATTCCCTCTCTTCCCCATTCTGATGCTCGGTTTGAACTTCATCAAGTCGTCTTCACCACATCTAGATGCCTAAATACATTGAGTTGCTGCCATGTGATTGGCTGATTAGCAATTTGTGTTACCAAGTAATTGAACAGGTGTACCTAATAAAGTGGCCGGTGAGTGTATGTGTTGGCATGGCCTCCTTAGGCCTAACCAGGAGCATGTGATAGGGTCCCGCACTGGACATGAGGACACCGAGAGAAAGTCCACTGCCAGGGCATGGAGGAGCAGGGGATCAAATAAAAAAAAATGCTTTTGTTGTCCCCTAGATATAAATGAGCAGGTAATCCTTGCACTGCGGGTGCAGACTCACTGCAAGGGAGGAGTTTTTAGTTTTACTGAAGTTGGACTTTAATGAAATTTGCTAAAGCAATGTCTGAAAAATCTAGTAGACTTTTTCATGTAACTGCTGGCTTACTAAACTTTTACAGATGTTACAAGGCTATAATCAGCACTCTGTGTTGTTTTATTCAATAGGTTACACGTGTATCCATGAAAAATTCAAAGCGATTAGAAAATTAGCAGAAAATAGTTCTATAGTCTGCTTGGCAACACAAAAAAGTTAGTGAGGGCTATTTGTAAAAGTGTGAGAAAGACATTCTCTTAGGTTAAATGGAAATATCTGCCTGGAGGAATACCTTGATGTAGTTATAAAAAGTAATATTTAAAATAAGCTTTGGCATTTTTCTCCTTAGTCAACTTTATCTCATTGTGCTTGACGTCATGTTGTTTGAGCAAAAAGCTTATGCAATACAATACCGCTGGACTGCACTTTGTAAACTAATGTATACTAAATGCAATTTAATATGTTCTCTTTTTCAAATACTAAATGTTTTCCTACTAGGAGATCGAGCTTCTACAGACACGCAAACCCATACTGTACTAATTAAATATATTGCACGCCTGGTTTTGTTTTAAAGTGTCACCATTTTTTTTGGCTTCACACCTATGCCATGCATAATGGAACCATTTCTTTCTAATGGAACCCCAACACAGGGTATAGTAGTTATCGAGGGACCCAAACAAGTGTTGACCCTTTTATTTCAATACCTAAATCACTAACCTTTAAGAAGTAGGAAGATTAGGACTTCTGATTTCACTCAGATTTTCCCTATCTGCGTGTTTGTTCTGGCTTACTAAATTAAAGAATTGAAACATATGAATTAACATGGGATCCAATCCTAGGGGTAGAGGTCTTATCTCAGATTTGTATCGCCTTTTTTGGCATCTATCTTTCCCTCACCCCTTTTATATAGACAGAAATGGGAAGCTGATAGTGGTGTCACCTTCTCTGTAGAGGACTGGGACCCCATGGTGGGTAACATACGTAAGAGCTCTAGATCTCTTTCTGTCTGTGAGACGGCCCTTAATGTATTAACCCGCTGGTATTATACCCCCTCTAGACTACACATCATATTCCCAGAGACGTCCCACCTTTGCTTCCAAAGTTGGTATATTTGTCTATGCAGTCTTGCCTACTGGGAGCCCATATCTTGGGAATATGGATTGAGGCTATGAGCCTGATTCACACCATCTGTATCTAAGCCATATGGGCCATTTTCCTTCATTGGAAGTTGTTCACGGTACCATTGGCCTCAGTTTTATGAAGAGTCGATGCGGTGATGGTCATGGAACGTATTCACTATACTTTACTGGATAGGATGCACTTATTTGACAAAAAATGGGATGTTTGGAAAACTAATAGGCATTTACTGTCTGACCAATGAATATTCATGATTTTTATTGATGGTGTCTTTCCGTTGGTGGCCTTATTGCTCTGCCTACCTTGCTCATGTACTTAACTTTTATGTTCTACATAACTGTACCTTATTGGACTGAATATTACAGATGTGCCTTTTTTCTGTTGTATGTTATACCTTATGCTGTTAAACTGTTTTTGCAGCCTATTTCTTAATAAATAAAAACATTTGTAAACATGGCATCCAAATTACTAGCAAGGTCAGAAATGGTAGCCCTCATGTTTGTCATTGTAGGCTTTCTTGAAAGACTAACTCATCCTCTGTTGAGAAAAATACAATCCCCTCTGAGAGATCATTGTGCACTGCAAGGATTTCAACAAATCTTGTAGTCTCCCACCTGTTTCAGCTTTGAAGTAAAAGCTTTGTGTTTGGCAATGTCCTGTGCAGACTGATTCTGATCAGGATGGACTACTTCACTGTAATCACCTGGGGCACTTACAGTGTTCTGATAGGAAAGGTTGCAGTGTCTGCATTAATTTAGAAATAATTAACCCTTAAGAAGTATCTCACAAAAAAGGAAATTTCTGTTGCTGAAGATGTCTAAAATTTGACTTGTATCATAGACTTCTGAAAAAATCAAGCAGGAAATTTCTGGGGAAGTTCTGTGCACCTGCTGTGTACAGATTGCCTCCAGGTTGCTGTATGTTTTGCATTTTACAGAAAATTATAGCACTGCAGATTTAAATGAAAAGGTATTTTTTTATAACATTAAATTGCAATATGGCTTGTGCAACAATTTGTATTTTATTCACTTTATTCTTTTATACCCTTTAAAGCCAAACTCCAGACAGAAAAGGAAAACACCATTTGTTTACTAGGGAATCATTAAATGTATTTGTTATGTAGAATTAACATTAGTACCTAAACATGTTTTATTTCCAAAGTATAATACCCAGTACAGTAGAATTTGAATTAATAGAGCAAGGGCTTTTTTTTATTGTTCAATGCTTTAAGAAAGAGCTTAGATAAGGGGACAACACAATATACCTGGATCACAAGACTGGCCGAACAAAATTACAATTCTTTGGCAAGTAAAATAGTTCACATATATGTAGTTCAGATTTATATTTATATGTTTTCCTCAAGTTTCGCTTTGCGGTATTAGCATATCCTTTGCTTAAAGCAACACTGTTTCCCATCTACAATGTCAAATTTGTCACCCAAAAAAGAAAAAGGTAAATAATTCTCTTTCCTGCTGCCCTTACTGCTGAATACCACTCCATTGTTGAAGAATCATCTACTGATGTCTTTTGGGAAATCACATTTCCAAGGAAGTCGATCTCCTTTTTTACCTGCAGCACTTAGTGGGACTCAGGGGGAGGAACCAAAGAATGCTACAGATGACACAGTGGGGTTTATTTACTAAAGCTGGTTCACTCAGAAACTCATGCACCTGTACATGGTAGCCAATCAGATTCTAACCTCAACTTGCTCAATTAAGCTTTAGACTGGGTTCACACTAATGCAGACCCGGAAATGCGGTGAATCCTGTGCTTTTCCCGCACTGCATTGCAATAGCATCGCATTCATTCAGTGACACCCTGAAATAGATCGCGAAGCGCAATGCGATGGAGAGGAACCGCATCGCATGGGTGAGAACACCCATGCGATGTGATTCAACTGTGGGTAAAAAAAAAAAGATCTTGCACTTTTTTGGTGCGTATGCGATGAGATTAGAGCCATACAAAATGTTTGGCTCAAATCGCACCTCACAGACATTGCATGTAATTCACACAGGAATGGGGTGTCCCGTAGCGTTCAGTGGCTAGGGCAGCAGGAGAGGTAAGTATTTCCATTCTTCTTTACAGGTTACTGGTTTAATTGCCATTATACAGTATATTGGTGATGTGGGCCACTTATTTCCATTGTACATTACCTACAGATCCAATATGGCCTAATAAGTGCACAGCAAGTTGATATATTTTGAGGAGATATCTATGGGTAGAGAACAGGAGCTGAAGCCATTTTTCACCCATTTCCTTTATATTCATTCAACAGGGAGTTGGTGTCTGTGTGCAGTGGCTTGCCATTTTGTTAAAACATATAAATAACACTACAGCGCTAAAATTTTAATAAATAATAATAATATCATTATTGATTGGAGCACTTTTTTCACCATTTTTAACTTGGGACAGTGGACTTTATTAATATTTAATATTTTTACATTTTATTTTTTCACTGATGGTATTATTATTATTTATTAAAATTTTTTTTTTAATTAGTTCTAGACGCGGGTTTACTTTACACATGCCATTTTGTTAAAGTCTACTGGAGTTTGACTAGCCTACCCTGTCTGTCATGCCTCAGCTTATTCACATGCTGATCCAACTGATACAGGTTTTGGGGGCATTTCAGCAGTACTCTTCATTGTTTTGGGCTACATATTGATATTTTTTAATGTTTTAAAGCAGGTCTACACTAAGCTTGATTTCTAGGAGAACAAATGGTAGAAATGCATCTAGGACTGCACACTTGAAGGGTTCTACAATGTGCATGCTTTCCACCACATCACAACTTACAGATGTGAACTATCTGTGTATTGTGGTGTGCCATGAAGAAATTAAACGGTGCATGCCCATTTTTCATGCATTCTGATGCATTTATAGGTCCATAATTTTAC